CCAATTCTTTTACATCCTTCTTCTGTTGCCTTGTTGGTTTATCTGGATACTGAAACAAATAAAAGTTATTAAATAATTCAATCTACATGAAATGGTTAATAATTACATGCGCATAATATGTCATTTTGTTGTGATCAAGAGCAGAAGGTGCAGTATACATAAGTAATTTTCTTGCAAATGTCTATTTTTTAGCTGGTAGTCTGCAGTAGTTATCTTTAGGATAATTAAAAAACTAGAAGATATTTTTGTAAAGCAAGGGGAATGAACCAAGGGACTAGTTAGTTTATAGTATACCAACTTTACTTTCAATTTTGTTCTGGATTCGTTAACAACATTATTGCACACTGCAAATAATACTAACACTCACTACTTTGTTTACCTGAGCAGCAAGAGTGTGAAGAAAAGTCCAAGTGGCTCTTCCAAGCTCTTCTTTAGTCAAAGGACTAGCCAAATTTCCCTGAATATAAGGAATTGATTCATCATTATCAACAAAGCAATTCCCTGTTGAAATTCTAATTAAGTTTTCGACAGAATAAAATGGCTTGAAAATCCCATGGAAGCTAACTATGGCTACTGGTGCCTACAGGAACTCAACCTGCATACATTTTGTAAAGTGAAAGATACGGCATTAGTATACAACACAACCCGTCTCAGCCAATAAGCCGATCCTGTGTTGCTGCAAACACAATATCTGAGCCGACCCTACATTTACACACAAAACCCACCAAACAAATGCTTCCAACAAAAAAACATATTTCAATGGGATTCACTCTACGTGAATTAGAGAAAAATCCACATGCACTAACACATAAAAATCAGCGCTAGACTCGTTCAGGACTTCTATCAAACAGTTACCGAGTTACCCATCTCTCTAAGACAGAAGACAAACAAGGAGATCCAAGCAACTTTAGATTTAAAACACTGCAAACGAGTGAGTGTAACGATCATCAATGAGAAAGAGTACCTTTTTCATGGTGATGAGATCGGTGTGCTGGGGATGGGTGGAGACATTTTCTGACGAACGTACTTTGGAGGAGGAAGAGACAGAAAAAAGACGTGTTTGCGTTGTGGGAGAGGAGTGGCGAGGTTGGCCTATCAGATTAGAGAGTTGGGCTTGAATTGAATTTGAGACTTTCGCAACAGTTTCAAACAGCGCCTGCAATGGATGCTCCGACATTTTCAGAGACAGCGAGACGCGAAGGAGATGTGTGGCGGGAAAAAGACGGCTTGTTTGGTGTATGAATTCTAATAAGGAATATTTGCTTACGGGCAAGAGCCCACTTTAGGAAGAAAAAAAACATATTTTAAAGTGAATTTAGAACCCTTGGGCATTATTTTCTTACGAGCCGACTTTTAAAGGCAATTTCTACCTATAGGTTAGAAAAATCGTTGTAGAATAGTGTATTAGGTGGTTAGGTAACTTCTTAAGTGCAATTTTTATTTTTTTCAGCAGAGCTTGTTACATGCATTCGAATGGCACCTCTATCTATTTTATGTCTCTTGTTTCCGACCCCAACTAACATCACATTCACATAATCAACGACCACGTTGGGGAACCAATGGGTCATCATCATATCTTCCACATATCCATGCCATGTTCAGTACGCAATCCAACACAATGGCGTATGGGAGGACAGTGTAGTGACATCCCAACATTCCACATAAATATTAGCCTCACGTGACTCTACAGCGCGTATGCAACGCATCCCCAGTCAAAGATTAGACTCTCCCACAAATGAAGGATCCATTTTCATCACTTCTGTGGAAGGAAGTGGCTTTAGTTTTCTTCCAAGAAGCAAAATAGAAGAGAGGGTTCATTGATCCAATCCAACACCTCCATTGTGAAATTCAGGCCACACCCAGTTTGGCAAATCCTTCAAAACAGGTACTTTCTCTTAACAAAATCACCTGCAGAAACTTCTTTGATTGTTTTTGTCATGGGTTTTGATGGAGCTAGCAGGCTACAGTTACAGCTTAGCATCATGAAACAATAACCAGATCTAAATTTCAGGCATAACCCAGTTCATTGAATCCATTAGGCTGCTTGGTATTGGAGTTCGTATATTTTTCCCTCTGCTGTCTGTTGATGGCTGAAGAGGGAATAGTCAATGATGATGCAAAGAACACAGCTGCAAAACCAAACCCAAAGTTGACACTTTTGCCTCTTATAGCTCTAATTTTCTATGAGGTTTCTGGGGGTCCTTTTGGTGTAGAGGATTCAGTCAGGGCTGGGGGTGGCCCTCTTTTGTCTTTGCTTGGTTTCTTGGTGTTTCCCTTGTTTTGGAGCATCCCAGAAGCTTTAGTGACAGCTGAGCTTGCCACAAGCTTCCCTGAAAATGGTGGATATGTGCTCTGGATATCATCAGCTTTTGGGCCTTTCTGGGGTTTCCAAGAGGGCTTTTGGAAATGGTTTAGTGGGGTTATGGACAACGCTCTTTACCCTGTCCTATTCCTGGATTACTTGAAGCATTCATTTCCCGTCTTCAACCGGTTGATAGCTCGAATTCCAGCTCTTTTGGGAATAACATTCTCATTGACATACTTGAACTACCGTGGACTACACATTGTCGGGTTCTCTGCTGTTTCCCTTGCGATTTTCTCACTTTGCCCGTTTCTTGTAATGGCGATTCTTTCGATTCCCAGAATAAGGGTTAAGCAGTGGCTAGTTGTAGACTTTAAGAAGGTGGATTGGAGGGGATACTTCAATAGTATGTTTTGGAATCTGAACTATTGGGATAAGGCAAGTACCCTTGCAGGGGAGGTTGAAAATCCAAGTAAGACATTTCCAAAGGCGCTTCTCGGGGCTGTAGTTGTGGTGGTTTCTTCATATTTGATCCCACTTCTTGCTGGAACAGGAGCTTTAAACTCTGCCTCTAGTGAGTGGACTGATGGGTACTTTGCAGAAGTTGGGATGTTAATAGGTGGCTTTTGGCTTAAGTGGTGGATTCAAGCAGCTGCTGCAATGTCTAACATGGGGTTGTTTGAAGCAGAAATGAGCAGTGATGCCTTTCAACTTCTTGGGATGAGTGAGATGGGAATGCTTCCGGCTATATTTGCTTCAAGGTTTGTAACTTGTATGCTTCATCTCCCTTAGCAACCTCAAGGAATTTAACCTTTGATGCATATTCCATCTATAAACTTAATTAAGTGACAGATTATTTATAATTTATATCCCAAGATTCGATAGGGGATCCTTTCTTCAAAGAAAAGGACATTTTGCTTCCAAATTGAGTTGGATGCTATCTGACCTTAGGTGCAGTGTTGATGAGCACTTACCTGATTGTTTGTTTAATTCCATCTTGTAGGTCAAAGTATGGAACACCTACTGTTAGCATTTTGTGCTCTGCTACCGGAGTTATCTTCTTGTCGTGGATGAGTTTTCAGGAGATCTTGGAATTTCTTAATTTCTTATATGCTATAGGAATGCTTCTTGAATTTGCAGCTTTTATAAAATTGAGAGTAAAGAAGCCAGACCTTCATCGACCTTACAAAGTACCCTTCCAAACATTTGGGGCAACAATGCTTTGCCTGCCTCCTGCATTGTTGCTTGTTCTTGTTATGTGCTTGGCTTCTCTAAGGACTTACTTTGTAAGTGGTTGTGTAATCATTGTTGGGGTTTTGTTGTACCCTCTTTTAGTTCATGCAAAGGATAGGAAGTGGGCACATTTTGATGCGGAACAACCTGCTGAGCCTCCCCTTAACTGTCCGGCTGGTCATTCATCGGCATCGCAGTTGCATCCAGAAGATGCAGATGAGGCTTCAGTTGGCCTTCTCACAGACTTGTCACCTGGTACAGAACAAGAACCCTCCAAATTGAGGTTAGAAGAAGTCTTGAAATTAGAGTAGCCAGTCCTTTTCATACCAACTTTCACTGGTATGCAAAGCTATAAACGAATGTATAATTCTTTACCATATAAGCTGTAATTCTAATACTAAGTGTTTGAAGCTGTAATTTTTTTTTTTTTATGTGTTTGAAGTTATTTTGATGTATTGGTGTTTGTATGAAGTTAGTTTGTGCAAGATGAAAACTGGGTTTGAAAACTGTACATGCTTTCAGAGTTTCGATTGCATTGAAAAGGTTATAAAGTTCTTTTGCAAAGGATAGAAAAATGTACAATAATCACCAAATGCAGAACCCAGATGGTCCGCTTTGTTGGCATCTCAACTCTTTGTCTATCCATGGCAAAGCCCTAAACCCAATGTCCTCGAAATGAAGTCAATGAACCACAGTAACAATTCTAGGCTCCTACTTTATCTATCCATGGCAAGCTGCTCACCAGCTGCTTGTTTTGTACACAAGCGAATATTTGTTTGAATATGGCTCATTTGGGAATGCTTCTCTAGGAAGCACTTATGCTTATAAGCGCTTCTAACAAAATTATTTTTATTATAAAAGTGTTGAAATTTTCATAAGAAATCCAAGTGCTTCTTGAAGAAGTACATACCAAAATGCTTCACCAGAAAGTGTTTCTATGACCTAAAAACACTTCTAAATTATTCTGACAAATGCTGCAAAAAAACACTTTTGTTTGTCAAAAAGCACTTTTAACTCTTTCAGAAGCACTCCTAAACAAGATCAAGTATAGTGTAGCAAGTTGGTAGGTTACGAACCAAATGATGTGGCTACATTTGACGTATGAATGTATGAGATTTTGGCCTCCAACTTTTTATCACTTACAATTACAATTTGTACCTCAATAGGATTTTGCATTTGATGTGATGATTTATAGATTCCGAGGTAAAGTATACCTAGAGCTAAAAAAAATAGTATGAATTTCTGCTTCCCCTCTCTTTAAAAACAAAAAGAAAGATCAAAGCCAAATGTTTGCCCTTAAAATATGAAACATGTTTTTTTATTCTCTCTCTTCACTAGAGGGGAGGTAAAAGGAAGGAAAAACGAAAGACAGTTACAAAAGAGCGCAAGCAAACGGGCCCAAACAAGTCTTTCACATCTCTCAAACTCAGAAAAACGCACGTGTAGCTTTTACAGAAGAAGGTTCGGAAAGCACACAAAGCCCTTCATCTTAATCCTTGTTTGGTTAACAGAAGTAGCTTCAAGCATTGGCCTCGTTTCACTCAGGTGCGTCTCTCTGTACTTTCGTTCTCTGGTCAATTCGCTTTTTGGGTTTTGATTTCTTACCACAATCTCAAATGGGTTTCTGCAAATTGTTTATGAAATCTATCACATTTGTCCGTTTTTGTTTCTGCTACTCTTTCTCTTTTATTTTTGAATGTCGTAAAGACATTGTAATCTTATGTTTTTCTGAACTCATGATATAGTTAATGTTCAAGATGACATTTATATTATTTGAGCAAAATTTGTACATGGATCTTGTTCATTTTGATTAAGAAATTTAGGAATTTGTTTTCTAATGCCATTTTGGTGAATATACAGATGAATATTTTGCCTGAAATAAGGGTTTTAGGTTTTGAGTTGAAGATCCTGCATTCTGTCATCTGGGTTTTGCTGGAGAATTCGAGGTTTCAATGTGGATCTGATTTTGGTGAATTATAAGGCAAGAAGTGGAGGGAAAAAAGATGTTGCCAAATCAAAGCTATTCTCGTATTGACACTTCAGAGCTAAAATTTACAATTGTTCAAAAAATTGGGCATCAGAGAGCTGAGAAATACTTTGATCTGACCAGAAGATTGTTTGGTTTGAAGATTAGCAAGTGTGACTTCAACAAATTCTGCATTCGGACTATTGGGAGGGAAAATGTCCATCTTCATAACAAGCTTATTAGGTCAATTATCAAGAATGCTTGCCTTGCAAGAACTCCACCACTGACAGGTATTAGGAAAAGGGGAGGTGCCCTCAATGCTAAAGTTGTAATTGGCTATCAGAAGAGTTGTGCTCAACCGGTTTACGGGGATGCATTTCCTCAATGCCCTCGCAAGGGCCGGACTGCTGTTAATCGAGATCGTAAGTTTCGGGACCGTCCAAGTCCTTTGGGGCCAAATGGAAAGCCCCAAAATATTGCATATGAGAAATTGATTTCCAAAGCACATGAGCAGCAAAGTCCTACTGAGTTGCTTTCTCTTGACAGCAGGCCTCCCATTGAAGTTGCCTCTGAGGATGGAGAAGAAGTTGAACAGGTTGCAGGGAGCTCAGCTATTCAAAGTAGAAGCCCAGTAACAGCTCCCTTTGGTATATCCATGCATTTGGGTGGATCACGTAAAGCTTTTCCCAATGTATCAGTGTGTGGTGGTACATACCACCGTGAAACTTGTCAAAACTGTGGTGAGCTACCTGATACAAAATCGTTAAGAAGTCGTTTGGAGCGTAAGTTGGAGATGGAGGGTATTGGTGTTTCTGTAGACTGTGTTAACCTCTTGAACAATGGGTTAGATACTTTCCTGAAGAGATTACTGGAACCTTGTATTCGATTAGCTGGGGCAAGGCATGGGAACGAGTGCTTAAAACAACTAAACGGTCTGTATATATGTGGTTCAAATGGGACATTGCGTGGGGGACATATGCAAAGAGAAAAAAAATCTACTTATGCATCCATGTTAGATTTTTGTGCAGCAGTGGAGTTAAATCCGCAAATACTTGGCGAAAATTGGGCCATACAGCTTGAGAAGATTGTCGTACGTGCTTCTGAAGAGTGAAAAAAAAAAAAAAAAAAAACCTTTTATGCGCACATTCAGCAGTTGATGAGATCAAGGGATGTGAAACTTACGCCCTCAATTATTCATAGTTCAGTTTTTTGATCATTTGACCTCACATGGATTTGTAGGCTCTGCCTCTTCAAGGTTTTAAGCTTTGACATAAGAAAAATTTGTGGATTCTGTGGGAAGTTGGGGTAAAGCTCATTAGGTTGCATAGGCTTGATAGTCATTCTTAAGAGGGCATGTTAATACAGTAATATGTTAACGTTTTCATACAAGACCTCACTGTTTGAAGGTTTGGACACTACTTTCAATTCATTTTAGTTTGTTCTCTATTTTCGTATATTCATCGTTCATAATTGGTACAGTGACTTCAGTTATCAATTAGACGGTTACAAATCTTTAGAAAGTTTTAACTTCAAATGGATTTTACTTTTCTTGCTCACCCTATTTTAACTGGACTATTCATTCTTCTCAATTGATGAAACTTGTCAGTGCATTGTGGAGAAGGAAAGAGAAGGTGGGTAAGTTGGTTCTGATCAGCTTCGTCGGCTATATAATTTCAAAGAAATTTCTATTGATTAAATAGTTTTGAAGAGGTACTCATAATTGGTTGTGAACTGTGGAAGGCGCACAGCCAGATCTGAAGCCTCAGCTTAATATCAAAGACCAGAAGGCATTGTTTGAAGAATGCTGACCCGACTATTAGAATGTTGTTATATTGCATAGGTAGGGTAGTTTGTTCTGAGGCCTGCTTCACTGAGCTCAAGATGAGCTATGTTTTAAATATCAGATTGTATTACTGAATTTTTAGTTGATTGACGATTGACAGAATCCAATTCATTATAGAATTCTGTTTTTGTTCAATTGCCTCCCTGGTTTGAATCTACACATCCAAAAGCAAATCTGCTGACAAAGCCTTACAAGTTAACCAGGTTAAATGGAAAACTGTATCCCTCAACAGGGAAGAAGAAGAAGTCGAATTGCTTGCGTTAGATGTGTAGAATTATCAGTGAACCAAGCACAAAGACAAGTTTCTTCTAGAACTGGAGAAAAAGAGCTTATAATATAGAACTTCGTTTTCAAGTTCCACAAGCCTTTGTTTCCCAATAAAATAGATTTTTAAGTGATACTCTCGTGGTTTGTCTTCAACAACATCAATCAACCCACTACTTTACAAAAACCCTGAAAAGTTTGCTAACAAAATAATACGGGAATAGAGACATGCTAGTGTTAGTCGTTCAATGAATTATCAGTACCCTCCTCTAAGGTTAGTATAATAGCACTATGCTATTTTCAATCACTTATGTGCACATGATTAATTGATAAACTGTTGATTGACGTAACACCACAATACAATCTATATTGATCAATAGTAAACAATCAGTAGTGTTCGATCTCCCAACAGAATAAATAAATAAATAATATCAACCAATTTTGGTCGGTAATTTTGTGGGAGTTTTTTTTTTTTTCTGTTTACCACAGGGGAGACAAGGAGGGAAAGGAAAGAAAAACGAAGGACGGTTAAAAAAAGCGCAAACAAACGGGCCCTAATCGAAGTCTCCACATCTCAATTCTCAAACTCAGTAAAGCGCACTTCTGTGTTTTCATCTGAAAAGTACACAAAGGCAAAGCCCTCTTCTTCCTAATCCTTGTTTGGCATGTCCTCGTTATAACAGAAACAGCTTCTAAACAAAACAGACAAAGCACAATCACCAAATAACAATTGGGAAAAAGAGGAAATAAAAAACACACTCAAACTCAAAGGGCAATCCAACTGTGACCTCGTTCGAGCCAGGTTCGTGTCTCTCTCTCTTTCTTCGTTCTTTGGTCAACGCGCTATTTGGGTTTGTATTTCATGCCAAAATTTGAATTGGGTTTCTGTCAAATCTGTAAATTGTTACTGAAACCTATCAAATTTGTCCAATTTTTTGCTTCGGCTACTCTTTCTCGTTAAATTTCCAAATTTAGAAAGATATTTTGATATTTATGTTTCTTTGAACTCTTGGTTTAGTCAATGTTTAGTTCCCAGTGATATTTATCTTTGTAATTGAAGTAATTTGAGCAGAATTTTAGTACCCATGTTCAATTTGATTAAGAAAATTTAGGAATTTGCTTCTGATGCTTTGGTGAACATGCAGGTTGTCTGAAAATTAGGGTTTTAGGTTTTGGATTGAAGATCATGTATTCTGTCATCTGGGTTTTGCTGGAGAATTCAAGGTTTCAATGAGGATCTGGTTTTGGTGAGTTTTAGCAAGTGGAGGGGAAGAAATGGTGCCCAATCAAAGCTATACGCGTATCGACACTCTAGAGCTGAAAGGTCTGATTATCCAAAGGATTGGGCATCAGAGAGCTGAGAAATACTTTGATCTGATCAGGAGATTGTTTAGTTCAAAGATTAGCAAGTGTGAATTCGACAAGTTTTGCAATCGGACTATTGGGAGGGAAAATGTCCATCTTCATAACCGACTTATCAAATCAATTATCAAGAATGCCTGCCTTGCAAAAGTTCCACCCTTGACAGGTATTAAGAAAGGTGGAAGTACCCTGAATGTTAAAGTGGCGAATGGCTATCAGAAGAATGGTTTTCAATCAGTTAATGCGGATGCATTTCCTCAATCTCCTCGCAAGGGCAGGTCTCCAGTTAATCGGGAACGCAAGTTCCGGGACCGCCCAAGCCCTTTGGGGCCAAATGGAAAGCCCCAAAATTTGGCATCTGAGGAGTTCATTTCTAAAGCACAGGAGCAGCAAAGTGCTAGTGAATTGCTTTCTCTTGGAAGCAGACCTCCTGTTGAAGTTGCCTCTGTAGAAGATGGAGAAGAGGTCGAACAGGACGCAGGAAGCCCATCTATTCAAAGTAGAAGCCCAGTAACAGCTCCTCTAGGTATATATTTGGGTGGATCACGTAAAGCTCTTCCTAATGTATCATTGTGTAGTACTTACCACCCTGAGACCTGTCAAAACCGTGGCGAGCTACCTGATACAAGATCATTAAGAAGTCGTTTGGAGCGGAAGTTGGAATTGGAGGGCGTTAGTGTCTCTGTAGACTGTGTTAACCTCTTGAATAATGGATTAGATGCTTACCTTAAGAGATTAATAGAACCTTGTATTCAGCTAGCTGGGACAAGGCATGGCAATGAGCACTTAAAACAACTAAGTGGCTCATACCCGTACAAAGATGGTTTGAATGGGATGTCACTTCCGAGAAATATGCAAAGAGAAAGAAAATCTACTTATGTGACTGTATTGGATTTTTCTGCCTCAGTTGAGCTAAATCCCCAGATACTCGGTGCAGATTGGGCCATACAGCGTGAGAAGATTGTCTTGCGTGCTTCTGAAGAGTGAAATAAATCATTGCACACATTCAGCGGTTGATGAGATGACGAGACATGAAATTGCACCCTCAGTTATTCATAGTTCAGTGTTTTGGATCAATTCTTTAACCTTACACGGATTTTTAGTCTCTGCCTGGTACGGAGTTTTGAAGCATTGTGATAGGGAATAAGTTGTAGATTATGTGAGAAGTTTTGGGTAAAGTTCATTAGGTTGCATTTAGATATAGGCTTGATAATTGTTTTGGAGGGGGCATGTCAATACCAAAACATGTAAACAATTTATACAAGACATCACCAGTGTTTGAACATTGTTCTTCAATGAATATCTGTTTTTGTTCCCATTTTTCTTATTACCAAGTTATGGGAAAACGTCTTGTTCACAATTCAAATTATTGCAGTTTGACAGTTGCATATTATTTAATTTACTTTTCCCGCTTGCCTTATTTTACTTTTAGTGTTACATTCCTCTCAGCTAATGAAACCTATTAGTGATTTGTTACGAAATTTTGTCTTATTTTTCCTGAGCCTGTAATTGAAATAGCAGGTTACACAAAATAATTTTGGCAGGATTTCTCCTCTTCCCTCACTTGGAGCACTGATACTTGACTGACATAATGGTGTGTGCAGTTCTTGACGTAATCAATGCCTAGGCTTATGTGAGCAAAGTTCTTGAGAAGGCATCTCTTTGATTGAGGGATCGCTTCAATTTTCTTTTAGTGAGGAAATGCATATCCAAAGGCGGTTGCAAGCCTGCTTTAAATTATAACAGGTGAGCTTCTGACTACAATATCAAGCATATTAAATTGTTCAAAGTAAGCTACAGCATCACTTTGAGCTCACAATTCATTGCCTTAAATATAAAACATGTGTCTCTGTGTGTGTGTGTGTGTGTGTGTGTGTGTTGCTTCATAACCACGCTTCCCAACTCACTTTATGGAACCTTTCCTTTCTTAGGAATGAATATCTGCTATATACGATGATTAACTGATGTATGAAATATCTTTTGTTTATTTGTATGTTAATCTTCCCCACCGGTGAAGAGCTGCTGTCTGAACTTTGTACGTAATGAAGTTAGCAGTTGACAATAAAATACAATGTTCTGTGTAATTCCACTTTCGTATTGGCAATAAACTGTATGGAGGCCGTCAAAATCAAGAACAAAGAGTGAGGATCAGTTCAAGTTTGAAGAAAGCCTTAAATGCAAAGTTTGTGTTACATGGACCTCGCCAGTTGATTGATGGAGCCGGCAAAGAGAAGGTGGGTGGCTTGGTCTGCTCAGCCATACAATTTGGAAGAAATTTTTTGAGCGTCTGCAATATGAACGTTGTTGTTTTACTGTAACTTTTTTTTTTTTTTTTGAGATTCTAATCTAGACACCCTGTAATACTTCTCTTGTATGTAATTCCTTGGTTTAATAAAAGTCATATCCACTAACTCAAAGAATCAATGACGTTCTGATGCCAAGTTTATGAGGACCTTGAGATGGTGTTCATTCAGCACCGGTTATATCAATAATCAGGAACTCACCAAAGATGTGCCTTTCCTTATATACTTGTCAACCTGTTCTAAAGAACTTGAATTGCTGAAAAACAGCTCTTCCAGAAAATTAAAAAAAATAAAATTTTAATGTACAAGCAAAATGAAAATCCGGCATGCATTTGTTTCTGCGAAAAGAGATTGTCATTTGTAAGTTTCTTCTTCAACATCAACCTAGTGCTTTACATAACATAACGTGTATGCTTGTTTTACAAGTACCGGGAAAAACACGATCTAAAGATAATTACCAATGAATCTAATTCATAAATAATGTAGCTCTGTCTAATTTAAATCAGAGTGAGATTCATAGCTTGCGCTTCAACCATGGTTCGGCTTTGGATGTCACATTAGCATTTCTGCTCAGGCACCCAGAAGCTTTACTGTGTAAAGGCATCACGAGCAACTTCCAAGCACGGTTGTGGAGACATGTCTAGATCTTGAAGATGAGACTAATGAAATAAATTGGCACCTACAGTCAATTCAGCTAGGATGTTGTACCTGCTTTCTCCAGGCCTGCCATGTATGTCATATAAATGGTCCACAGATACGAAAATCCATTGCTCACTAATGGCTGTATAAGAGGAAAAAAACAAAAGTTCCCAAGTTAGTTGCAGATCATGTCAAATATGTCGGTTGGACAAACAACGAGGTGAACTGATCAAATCAGAAAATTTCCCACTATTATCTGGAGCCAAATCCAAGTTGTGTGTGTGACAGAATAGAACTCAGCAGACAACCCCTTTAAAATTTCAAGTGATTCCCAAATCCAAAAAAATTGAGAAAAACCAAAATAAGAGAGAGAGAGAGAGAGAGAGAGAGAGAGAGAGAGAGAGAGAGAGAGAAACTTCCACACATACCTGTAATTGGACAGGAATGAATCTGAATGTGATAAAATCGCATAGTGGCCAGTACATAACACCACTTAACAATGTCGGGAACAAGTCTCGCTTTAAACGGGCACCAATTTCTGTACCGTTTTCACCTGGATTTGGCAATCATGGAAAATACTTAGACCATATGAACTTGAAATGAAACACCTAGTATACTTAAAACATCTTTCTGCAGACTCAGTTCGGCTCTAATTGTTTACTTAGCAGTTAGCGCTTGAAGAATTAATTCACATAGAGACACGTTATACCATTATTCATAATGCATCAAAGTTATACCATTATTCTTGCATACAAACAGGAAACATTTCCCAAAAGTTAAACACAAGGGTCAATATTAAAACTCAGTACATCTAGACTTTTGTTTATCTGGGCGAACTACAACTACACTCTATACATGTATTTATCCCTTTTCAGCATCCAATCATCAACTCTCTGTAAAACTGATTTTCATCTTTGATTTCAAGTATAAAAATTGGAAAGCCAATTTCCAAAGTAACTTATACAATGAAGTGTGGCAGGCTCAATCATAATTTTCACAAAATAAAACCTAGAACAACCTAATTCACAATCATTGACAAACCAATCTAATTGCCGCTTAATTCGATCCTCACAGGTTTAAAATGCAATCTTTGCTGAACAAATTATAATATGAAAAGAGAAATGCCCAGATTCAAGAATGTAGAACAAATTTTATGTACTACACATGATTGATCTGTCAGACAAATGCAGCATTAATTCATAAAAATCTTTGCAAAATATAAAGTTATACAAAGTTGAGGCAGAGCACATATAATCCTTGGACCTTGACAAACAGTATTCAACATGAAAAATGTGCTATAAAGAAACATGCTTTATGCATACCTTGTAGACATGCATTCAAGGAGAAGAAAACAACAGTCATGGTAGGTCCATAAAGCGTCTGCCCCATAGCCATTTTCATCAATGTAGAGAAAATATCACGTTTTGGGAAGACTCTTGACATGAAATTGAACCAGAAATGCAGGGATGGCCCTAAAACCAGCATTCCATATCCAGCCATGCGCAATGTCCTTACAGCATCATAAGATTCTGAAAATGACGATTTTGCTAATGTCTGATAAATATCATTATTTTCATTAGATACCATATTAAAACAAGAGCCAATTGACAAAATGTACCAGAAAATGCCAAAAGTGATGATTTAATTACGGTTTGACCCACCTGGGAAGACAAATCAGCAGCAGTGTAAATAAGCGCTGCAGTGACACTCTTTGTCAAAATGGGCCGGTGCTGGAGCATACCCAGATACCAACCCACGAACCCAAGCTTAGAAACCGACGTCGTTTCAGCAGAGGACTTGGAGGAAGAAAAGGCGGAGGAGAAGACAGAGGGAGAGAGGTCGTAGTCTCTGGCTTTCCGGAAAACTTGGGGGAAGCGGAGGTAGGCTTTGGACTGCGTTTGGGATTGGAGAAGTGTCGGGGCTCCGATCGGGTCGGTGATGGAGTGCTTGTGTAGAAGGCGGGTGATGTTAGTGTTTCTTCTGAAAACGGCCGTCATTGTGGTTGTTGCAGGTCTGCAATGGGAGAAGGGCAGAGGTTTTGGTTTTGGTCTCTCTGACGTGGGGTTTTGGGAGAGAGGGGTTTTAAGTTGAACAAAAGGAAGCGACATGTGACAGAGAGAGACGTGTATCGAGTTACATAGAGAAAGGGACTTTTGGTCATTTGGTGGCAAATTTGGGGTTTTTGTTTTAAAATATAGAAATGAATTGGGTTTCAAAATTCAATTGTATTTTCTCGACTTTATGTGTGAAGTTTGTACTCGCTTCCCTAACCTCAAGAACAATAGTCTCTTTTTTTTTTCTTTTTTTTTTTCTTTTTCCCTTTTTTGGTGCATAAGAATAATTTCATGTTTATGTACACTTGTACATTGCGGTTTTTTTTCCCTATAGATATGAGTTTTTCTCCATTGCCACTTGGGAACTATGGGGGAAGGAAGTTGTTGGATTTAATGTTCAATGGTTGATAACAACCAATCCTATAATTCTGTATTAAGTCTCAAATAAGTGGTTGAACTACGGAGATATCATTCGTAAAAATTCTCTAGTCTTTACCAATGTTATCATTTTTTTTTCTCTCTACAAAGGTCATATTAATGAACATGAGACTTAAGAATAGATATGAGACATCATTTCAGTATTTAGCAAACAAAAATATATAAAAGAAGGGAATAGTAAATTGATTCTTAGCCTTATGATGGAGAAAAGAGTATCCAAAACTCACGAAATGAGAATTTTACATTTCCAAAATAAGAGGTGAAGTTATTTGCCATCATGTCTTAATTTTAGCATAGATATGTATGTATATGAACAATTTAATTCTTAATATTAAGTATATCATATTACGTAATTTTTTAACTACATAATAATACGAGATTAGTTTCTCAATGAAGGATATAGAACGCAAACATCACTCTCTAGAGAAGAGCTACAGTTCGGGGGTGCTGGTATCTTCATAGCACCATTCACATTTATAATATTTTCAAGCTCTTCAATGTGAATATTGCATTTCCTTCAACAACAAAAAACAGCTCTTGAAATGAGAATCGGTATGGAATACTTTTCACTCGTAGAAAGGAAAAAGGAAAAAGAAACTTCATAGTGTGATTACACACGTGGAGTAAAGTGCAAGCGAGTATGCCCTTACTCAACACACGGCAAGTAGGAAAAGAGCGTCAAGTACTTTTTTTTTTTTTTTTGGGTCCTTTTTGGTTACACATATGCCGACCTTTTTGAACATAAACCAAACTGTTTCCAGAAACTTAGGTGTACCAATTTTGTCATGCCACGTGTCTAGAAATTTTACACGTTGCCTTTGCATTTGCAGTAATGCCCTCGAACATCTGCCTATATTCATTTGAGTTACTACAGCTGTAGCCTGTAGGTTTTGTTTTGTGTATGATGCATCTCGTGTCATCATTTGATGTCTAGTCCATGAACATTTGATATTGAGTTTTGAGGTATGCTGTGTTTTCTCATTTTCAGAACACTTAATGTCCACGGACATCTGACCAAACAAAAAAGTTGTCCAAGAACAACATTGAGTTTTGAGGTGTTCTACGAACAATAGATCATGTGTGACTTCTGAGTGTCCATGATGCATGTTTGATTTCTTACGATGGATGCATTTGTAATTCATAATCCATAAATTTATGTGTAATTCATAATCCATAAATTTTCAAAGTTATCGTAAAGCCTCTTCTTCTGATGATTTTTGGCTGGGATTGAGCACAAATTGATTACTTAACGCAAGTACTCGTTAACAAGGGGTTTGAAGCTCAGGTGGTGGAATGGTTAAGTGGTAGAGAACATTTATCTTTACAACCGATGTCCCGTCCTCTAAATAAGCTGTCCACAGTACACAATACTGTGGCTTAATACAACAATTACTCTGATCATATTGAAGGTTCCAATCTCAGAATAATTTTATTTTTGCTATGATAGTGCTTACTTTCATATCCATACATTAACAGTGTGCCATTGCCAGATGCATAATATAATTAGTGATTGCAATCCTGCTCCTTTATAATACAAGGTTACTATCTTTAAAAGGATGATCAACGAATTCCAGCCTTCTTCTTCAGCAACCAAAGTCGTAGGGTACCAGTCCTTTCAGCTCTGGGCCATTAAGTCTGTTGTTTTCAAAACTGAAACAGAACCAAGATAAATTCAGTAAATCTACAATGAGGTAAATAATGAACAGAACCAGGTGGGCAAATTCAGTAAAACTGCAATGAGGTAAATAATGATTATAGGGCATGAGACTTGGAGACCTGTTCAAGGTCTCTAGACTATGGAAAATGACCATCATATGCATACTATGATTTGTAATTAAGGAACTTATTTTATGAAAAGAACTGGTTTAACTTTTGAAACAGCATCCAGAATAAAGTTTGAGATTTAGTTCGCGAATATTCATTCAAATCATCATGCCCTCCAACAATACTCCAAGCTCCAGAGTGACTTCACTCTCTGAGAGTTAAAACTATCCATCAGCTACACAATGATGAAATTTTTTGTGTGCCGTAACAATTAACCGGAACTTATCCAAACCACCATCTGGTCTCATAATGGGCCTGTATCTCGGTTAACATTTGAAATGCATGATGCACACACCACATATTTCAACGGCCATGTTATGTCGGAACGCTGAAACAATTGCGTCCCCATAACCTATCCTATTAACCTAATAGGAAACTCAAAACTCATTTATAAACTTTTTGTTTCTCTTTAGGCTATGATTGGTTTTAGTGCCATGGCACATACTGCATATGATTGAGAGGATGAAAGAAAGGGGTGTGACAGAAATGGTACCTTTCCATTGAGAAAGTCCCGAATGGGCCATCAACTGGAATTGTTCCGCATAGATCATTGTTGGAAACATCACTGTCACATTAAAATCTCATAAGACTGCTACTAATACAGTAATATACTAGACAAATAATTTCAGAATGAGAACTAAACTCAGGTTTAAATAGTTCCCAGTTATCTCAAGATTATAACTTACAAAACTTTCAGGTTAGAAAGGCTGACGAGCTCCCTTGGAATAGATCCTGTTAGTTTGTTGTTGTTTAGTCGCCTGCATCATCAATTTAACCATGTCAAATGCAAATTAGCTGCAATTTTGTGAATTGTAAATGTTGAAATATTCTGGCTAATCAGTCTCTGAAAGTACTTACAGAAATCTGAGTGACTTCAATTTGGAGAAAGATTTGGGGATTTTTCCTTCAAATCTGTTGTCATACAAATCCATGCTAACAAGGCTTTTCAATTTCCCCAACTCCTTTGGGATTTTACCACTTAAGTCATTTCTATAAAGCTCCCTGAAACACATTCAAAGATTTTCTCAATCACTTCTTCAGAGAGTTATTTTCATTAATAAATTGTACAAGTACATTGTTATCGAAGTCAGAACATGTATAAGTAAATTGAAATCAAGATTTGATCAATTTTCTTTTTTCCACTTGATAAAGGAACTAGGAGAAAGAAAAAAAAAAAAAAAATATTCTTCAGTCATGTGGGTCTCTAAATCCACAATCTGTTACTTGAGTGAGCTTTTTCATTTCTAAAGTTGGAAACAGTATAAACATGGAATCTTTTGCTTCCTTGCTTTTCTAAGCAGCCAAAAAAATACAGCCCGTTTCTTGTTTGGGGTCTGAATCAAATACAGCATAAGAGAAAAGGGTGGTATGAGAAAAGGAAACATACAAGTACTGTAGGTGCTTCAGCTCCCCAAGCTCAGGCCCCAAACTCCCAGAAATGTTAGAGTTACCCAAATCCCTGAAATTGAAGACAAGGAAGTTAATCAGGACACATAAATGGCCAACAATTCCAAAAGCGCTTCCATCACTCAAACAAGAAATCCAACAAGCACACAAACCCAATAAAATTTTAGATTAAATTTAAACATGGTAAGAACAAAGAACAAAGAACAAAGAAATTAGAGAATCTTACAAACGGATCACATGGTTATTAGAATCACAGGTTACGTGGAACCAAGTGCAGGGATTGACCAGAGTTGGGTCCCAGCTCTGCAGGACATTGGTGGCATCATTGAGTCTGCTTCTCAAAGCATGCAAAGCATTTCCTGAAATCAAATTAAATCACAAATCAAAATGACCGAAGTACAGAATCTCAAAGCTACCCAACAAAGAGGACATGGAAAAGAAACTGGAAACTGAAATTGATGTGGGTTTTGAGGAAATTTTCCCTAATTCTCCTCTCTGGTTTCTCAGCAACCAAAAGGAAACTAACCCAGTTGAGGAAAAGAGGGAAAATTTGAAACTCAGAAAGGATCTTGCAAGATGGGTAGGAAGGAAGTACCTTCGGAGTTCGTGGAGAAGGCAGGAGAAATACATAACAGGAAGGTGAGAAAGGAAGATACTATGGAGCGAGGAGCCATTGGAGAGAAAATGGAAGAACTTTGAGAAGTAAACAAAACAAAAAACAAAGAAAAAGAAGGGAGTGGTGGTTTTGGTTTCGAAAGTGTAAAGTGTTAGTTTGCAAAGTTAGTCAAGTCAAATACGATTTGTCTGGTATGCGCTATGAGTAGTAATATTCAAATACTACTGTTTACAGTCTTTTAGACTTTAGAGCTCCTCTCTCTCTCCTCCTCCTCTCTCTCTCTCCTGCTGATACAGAGAGAGGGTCTTCTCAGACTTCTCAATGCCAATTGGATTGGAAACAAGTGGGAAATTCATGCGGTGGTCATGACTGACCTGTGAGTTTGTCTGTGGACTTGTGAAAGGGAGCTAAAAGAAAGTCTTGCCTTGCCGCGTTGAGTAGGGGCCACTTGAGGGGTGATCTGTGAAATTGGAGAAGACCCAGTCTTAGCTGCTGAGCTGGTGGGTGAGGGGGGTGACTATGGGGAAACACCAAAATATTAAGCAGAAGACCGGGTACAGTGTGGAATTGAGTTTGGTGAGTTTGTTTTTTGAACTAGTTTTGGCTTTTGCCAATTATGTCCTGCCATGTTAGGCAGGCATGCCTGAATTCAACCCATTATATATGCTGGGCCCTCTTGTACCATGTTCATGTTCAAGGGATCAAAAGGTTGAACGTCCTGTTTTTTATTTCTCATTTTTTTATTGGGGAGATGCTATAGAATCAAACTATTTTTCTGTTATTTTCCTAACTCTCTTGCTTACAACGAACTTTATTATAAAAAGTAGTGTATGTCATGAGTTTATGCTTCCTTCCTGTATTCATCTCTTATCACGTGACTTATCACAACTATTTCAACTTTTCTGTCACGAGGTTATACACTTTATTTATTTCTCATTGTGTGACCTGATACAAACCCTTTGTAACAAAAGTTTAATTTCTTACATAGGTCTTGCTCGGATACAATTTCATGGATTCCACTTCATGTGTGAGAATTTGGATAAAAGTTGAAAAATGAATTGAATTATAAAGCATTTCCCCTTTAGAATGGAAGAATCGCAAACTTAGCAACTTGGATGTAAAAAATGTCTTTTTCGAGAGCATGTTGTTTTTAATTATTAGTGTCCTCACAGAAACGACTTTCCACACAAAGAAAGAAATGAGTGGAGTGGAAATTTCCTTCTTTATTTGCTGGTTGGTAAAAGCCAATGGGCCAATATGCTTGAGTAAGTTCTGAGCTGATGCTTAATGAGTGACTTGGAACCTGCCCTGTGAAGCTTCTTTGACCGAAGACATTCATGGTGGGCAATCAGTTCAGTACCAACAATTTTGCCTGACCATATGGGGGAGTGGGTTACTAAGATTCTTTTTGGCCAATAGGGAAATGAGGTTGGCTAACAATGGTAGATCTGACCAAAAAAGAAAAGAAATTTTAAAGCGGGACCATAACACTATCACGTGATGTTATCAATCCAAACATTGAAATATGAACGAACGACATAATTTATATACTACGATATAATAATACACACGTATAACATGGATTGGAAAAAACAACCATGGGACACTCTGATTGTCACACAAAAGATTACTCATAGATCAGAGCAACTTTGTGCAAGACAAATAAGCTTTAGCCAAATCATATATTTTTAATGAAAATACAGTGGATTTATGAGATGCATGCTCCCATCCAGATATCTAAATTGATCTGTGCCTAGTAATTTAACATTCAAAATTCAACTCAACACCATTTTCTTTATTCTTTAACAGACCTTTTTCTTTTGGGCATATTGGATGGTTGAATAGACAACTTCATTAACTAAAGCCATCCTAAAGCCAGAGTAGCAAGATACATATACATTCTAAAGCCAGTCCCAGTCTGCAAGTTTTGCAGTTTTAAGGATCACTTTTTAACATGTGGGAAACAAGAATAAACATCAGCCTTAGGGTGCTTTGCTTCAGCATGTTCCCGGCACTTCACCTCTGATGTGGTACATATAAATGTCTGCATGCACACCTTGCACTGCATTTGGTAACCATTACCCGCCAAGATGCATCATTGAGGGAACGAAACGAGTGACAACACCGGTGACAATTATAACAAGAACAAACCGAGTCACAAACTTTGTCAATGAGTTTAAAAACTATTTCTAATGCAATGACATCGAGCAGGTAAAAATAAGTGAATCAAGCACAATATGTCAGTCATAGCTTCTCACAACCTCATCATTATCAAGGTATGGAATTCCACAAGCTACATTGTAGGAATAATAAACTCACAAGAATGCAGGATGAAAGATTAAAATGTACCATTCTAATTTCTCTACTTGTTGTGAGGTTTTTAAAATAAGTTGTTCTGATCCAAGAATATCTTTGTACAAGTCATGCTTAAGAGAAAAAAGACTTATAAAACCCATAGAGATCACTAGTCCAAAAGCACAATTAGACATCTCACATGTACATGAACTTGAGGCAACTTATAATCAACAACAAATAAGCAAATTAACAAAGCATCTCCTAAGATTGAAAATTATAACAACGCATGAAACCGATACAAATGGAAAACACAAGTACGAATATCTATAGGAAATTGATTAAAACAATGTCATTCTAAAAGGGTTTTAAAGCATAAAAATATGCATAAGGGATGTCAAGTGAGTAAATTATATTTGAATAAATTTCATTTGTAGATTTTTTACTGCAACTTAGTATCTGCCCATGATCAAGTGCACATGATTCAGTAGGGATGGAATGTATAACAGAAATTGTTGATCAGCAAGGCGTAGGAGGTGCTAAAATCAAAGTGGAGTCATTGGATTAAATAGAAAAGAAAAAACTAATTAGAACAGAGATGTACAGAGTGAAAAACTCAGGCGCAGGAACTCAAGCCGGTAAATTCCACATCAACCATCTTCATATCACTACAAGAAGGGTACAGATAAAACACAGATATATATAACATATAATTCCTCATTGCCAATATCTCCAAACCCCAGCAAAACCAAATCACAAAAGCCAATATCTCCAAACCCCAGCAAAGTAAAATTTTAAAGTAAAGTTTCTGTACAAACATTAGACAAGTCACTGGGTCTTAAACCTAATCAAACCATGAAATTCTTCATCAACCAAATGGATAACAAAAAATAAACAAAATTTGAGTGGCACCCTTTTTTTTTTGGGTGAATGAAATTTAAGCACCAACAAATGATATATAGCTTAATAAAAAATCAAAGAGCAAAACCCATAATAAAGCATAATACTTTGAAACAAATTAAAGCCAAGGCTTGCAAAGGGACTACCTACCTGGATGTTCATGGCCTTCTTGTTGGCCTCAAGCTGGCTTCCTAAATAAATAAATAAATGAACAAAACCCAGATGGATCAGCATCATCACACTCGGGTCTAAGAAAATCAGAGGCTTATGCAATGAAAGTAAGATAGAGAAACAATTACCCTTGGCGGCTTTTTGCTTCTCCATGTTCCTTTCGCGTGCCGTCTTGGCCTTCTGCCCATTGCCTCCTCCCATGGCTCTGATATGGAAAACCAGCCTTTAAGTTTTGGGTAGGGTGCTCTTTTTATTTGGGAATGTGGAAGAGAAAGAAGAGGAGATGAGAGGAGGGAGGAGGACGAGGGTTGGGTTTAAAGGGTGGCAGGAAGGCAATAGAGACAAAAAAAATTGGACTTAGTGGTTTTCAATTTGGAGGTTGGGAGGTTGGGAGAGTGGGAGGATTTATGTCAGTCGGTCCACTAGGGAAGTGCCAAATAAGAGGAGAAAGAGTTCGATGAAACGGGGTAGCAATTTCTGATCAATAATGTTACGACACATGTGATAACATTTTTACGAGGCATATAATTATTGATCGGAGATAATAAAATAGTTTTATTTATGTTGTAACTAAGTTTTTCTCAAATAAGAGATGATACGTTTTTTGATGTGCCTACCACCCCAAAATGTGTCTACAATACCATGTCATATTATATAGGAAATATTTTTGCGCACTTTAACCTAAGGTGTATCCTCATCATCATTCGTAATACTTGATACATGTTCATATGCATAATCATTGTCAACTTTTCACTTTGTATTTATTGAATCATGGTTTTGCATATGGATACATGTCAAGTATTGAGAAAGATGATGATGATACACTTTGGGTTAAAGTGGTGAACAAAAATGCTCTCTATCATATATGTGGGTATTTCTTATTTTCATCTTCATTTTATTCATTAAAAATCATTGTGTTTAAAATTTGTAACTCAAACAAATGTGAGTTAGTTCAATTGACCAATATAATGTGTTTATTTTCTTATACTTGAGTTTGAATCCCCTTCCTCTACATTAGAATAAGTTACGATATCATCCTTATAAAAAAAATTACAAATTTTTGAACTCAAGACAACCTCTGATATAGCAAAGATTGAGTTGAATGTGTGTGTGAGTGGAGGCTGATTAACATAATCCAATAAATTTAACAACTTTTGTCATTTCATATCAAGTAATATTAACATTTATCTTCCTAACTTTATTGGGACTCTCCAATTTAGTCACTTTATTTTCAGTTTAGTTCATTTAGTTCTTGTGTTTTACCTTTAATCAATTCCTCTATTTAAGGTTAAAAGTGGGTAAATCATTTTTTTTTTAAAGGTTAATAAAAAACTAAACTGGTTATAAAAATATCAATTTAATAACCAATATATTTTTTTGTATTTTTTATTTTTTTAACGTTTAAAGGGAGTTTTAAGTGGAAGAGGGAAATTCTCAGCTAGAGAGAAAAACGGAGAAGAGGGAAAGAAAGAATACTCAACACTGAATGAGAGAGCGCGCGCGAGAACAAGGAAGGCCGAACTTTCTACACTGAATGAGATTGTTTCGTCATATCAAGCTTTGATTTCAGCCTCACCCAAGGCTAAGGTAACACGAGATTTGTATAATTTGTCTGAAATTGAAAGAGAGAATGCGCATTTGGATATTTCCTAAGCTTTTTTTGGTTAATTTTTATGGATTCAATTCACTCTTCCTTAGTTGTATGATTAATAGATTAGCAAAAGCCTCGCACTTTTAGATATTATTTAGATACTAAGAGCTGTTGAATCTTAGATTGAAAATTTCATGCTGGTTTGGTTATACCCAGATACTTAAATACTTAATTTTCCACCAAATCATCTGTAAATTTTGCATTTTTTCCCTCTTATTCTTCTGGGTTTCTCATCTGCCCATTTGGATAATCGAATTCATACTTCAATTTCATTTCCTATCTATTTTGGTTTTTGGGTATTTTGCAGGTGTTGGTTATCTTTCACATGGCTGAGAGACAAGCGGCAGATCAGCAGCAGCATCAAATTGATGCCCAGATGCAATCCCCACAACCTCAAAGGGAAGACATGGTTGCCTGTGTGATAGCACTGGAGGCTGCTTTGCTTCCATGCTTGCCTGCCAGAGAGCTTCAAGCAATTGACCGGTCTCCCCACCCTTCTCATCAGAGTTAGTACCAATAGCTTTACATGCCATTCAGTGTATGCTTGCTTGCTTGTATGTATGTGAATCCTCTTTGATACAGATGCTTGGTCGCCCACAGATTAACCACTTATCCTGATACTGAGGCTAGGGTTTCTAAGTTTTGATGATAAAACTACAACTTTTTGGTTGTGTACACATTCGTTTTAACTGAAAATTTGTAGTTCACTTTTTTGTTGATAAACTTTGAGAGGGTGAACCTCGTGACAGAGCTATGTTACCCATAAAAAACACTGCAATAGGGGTTTCTTGGGTCCACAACAGAAAACATTCTATGTACCTGTCTCTGGCCAAAGCCTAAAGGAAAGAGTAAGGAATATATTAAATTGGTTAAACACACCCAGTTTGGGAGTTCTTGCTTCAGCTTTGGCAGAGGAGTTATATTTCAACAGAGAGTTGTTGTTTGTTTCAAATCAAATCTCAAATAACCAAGTGTTAGCCTTTAATTATAATAGTGGCTGGAGAAGAAAGAAATTGTAGATTACATAACATATTCATGAGGGGGTAAGAAAATCCATTTTGACCAAAAGTTTGGATTCTGGATGTATAAATGGGGACATAAAGTCTTGCTCTCTATGAATTTTTCCATTTCATATGAAAGTTTTACTTACAAGTGTTAGGATTGTTTTGGAACTCTTGGTTATGTTTTTGGGTAAATCTTGTGTACCCACCTGAAAAATATCATTCTTGTAGTGGCCGCAAAAGATCCATGGATCTTTTGTTTTACCTTTGTAACCAGGGTTGACTTGGCCTTTGACGTTGAGGTTGCATAAGGAGATTTTGTTTATCAATCGTAACATCGAACCTTACGACTGTCAGTCTTTGTACAGTAGTAAACGAAATTGCAGAGTCTTCTTTGATCCTGAAGTGCACAATGAACAACAGTGCACCAAGGATGCATTTATCTTTACTTCCTCTGATGGTGTTTATTCTGTCATTGCTTCAGTTGATGTAGAGAGGCATGCCAGAGATTTTATGGAAGCTGCCAAAAAGCTTCAACTATATTTTATTGGTCTACAACGTGAGGATCAGCCAACCAAGGCTGAACAACTTAGAAAGGTTATCTGAAGACCATGCTGTTCAGCTTGTCCTTAGCTTATTAAGTCTTTGTTTTCTTAATGGTTGCGCGTTTTCATTTTTCCAGGAGATTGATGCGATGGAAGAGGAGTTGAGGATAAAGACTGAGCTTATCAAGAAGCATGAAAGGTTGATCCAAGGGTGGAAAAAGGATCTGAAAGACCAATTGGACAAGCACAACACTGAGCTTGAGAGGGTGTAGTTACTTGAGCCATAAAATTGTATCATTCCATTTGTTGGTAGATCATTTGGTAGCATCCATAACAATTTTGCTTCAACGGTCTCTTGTAAAAATTATGATCTGTTACATCCAAATCGGCTAGGTAATTTACAATGTGGAACCTAAAATTGGTTTTGTTTCCAGTGCTTTTTCGTTGCTTCTCTTAAAGATGAAAGGGCTTATACGATTGCTTTGGCAGTAATCAATTTTTCTGTCAAAAGTTGATCATGGTCAATTCGTTGTCTGATGGGGTTCTTATTGATGTACCCTGTTGAAACTTACATTCCTATTTCCCACTGGCTTGAGGCAACGCAAAATTTAAAATAAAATCCAAACTTAGATTGGAAAACGACTCCAATCTACCAGTCAAAGAATTAACCAAATTGAATTGATTATATTTATAGACAATTATCAATCTCCTGTTACAATGCAATATGGTAAAAAACATAGGGGGAAAAAAAGCATTGATCGCTTGACCACTGAATAGAAAATGAAGAGAACGGTTTCTTCACAAAAGTTCACATGTAACTATATTTCCGTCTGTCCATATCTTCCATTCCTTTTATAATCTTCGGCTTCAATCTGAGAAACCAGTACCTTGCCTCTTCTCCTCCTGTTCAGCTTTAATCCAAGCAGCCTACACAAAATGGAAATACCAACAAACCCATTAGGCAAAGGAGAAACCAACAAATAATCAGAATTTCAACAAAGCATTGCAAAAAATACATTAAGCACAAGAAAAAGAGCATTTACCTTATCTCGTTGAAGTTTCGAGACATGTGGCTTCATGGAGTTTCCTAAGCTTAAACCTCCCCATTGTTCTTGTAGTTCTCTCTCCCTTGCTTCTTTACGCGTTACAGAGAATCTGGTTTGTTCTTCCGGTTGCTGAGCAGCAGCCACCTTTTCTCTTTCAAGCCTTGATTTATGTTTAACCAGAATTTGGTCCAAACCAGATGCTTCTTCCATATGTGAAGGCAGTTTTGCATTACTTCTTTTCACTTCAGTTGCTCTGTCTTCTGACTGTTGCTTCATCTTCTCTTTCTCCAGTCTGGAAACATGTTTTACCAAAACTTTGTCCAAGCTCTCACATTGAGTAACACTGCTTTCTCCCTTTTTCTTTTTGACCGTATGATATTCGTAATTGTTTCCCATTGCCAAGGCTTGGATTTTCTCCCTTTCCAACCAGTGGACTGGTTTGACCATAATCTTGTCTAAACCATCTTCAGTCTCTTTAGTTTCAGCCATCATATTCTGAAGTGAGTTTATTTCCTCTGCACTAGGATTCTGCAGTGAAGACCCAACTTCATTTTGCTCCATCCTAGAATGCTCCTCAACATCCTTGTTTAAATCTAAATTTTCTTTCCCCTCTGATCCTTCCTCAGAAGAAGAAATAGCCATTTTCTTTTGTTGTGCAACTGATGCAAATGAATCAACTTTCTTCTTCAGATAAGGAAACCTAACTCCTTCATGTACATCAGTCTTCCTTCTGTTCTTTGCTTCTTGGACTTCCTTCTCAAGTCTTGAGACATGTTTCACTAAGAACTTGTCTAGGCTGGGGAGTTCTGAGACATGTTCTTTTTTACGACTGCCCACTACCGATTTTTGGTCACTAGTAGCAGATGTTTTCACAAATTTCGTCTTGGCCTCTTCAACTTCCTTTTCAAGTTTTGAAGAATGTTTAACCAGCATACTTTCCAAGTTAGGAATGGCATCAGAAGATATTTTGTTTCTCTGTGAACTCTTTTGAAGCATTTCAAAATGTCCACCTGAATTTTTCTTTGCCTCTTCAATCTCTTTTTCGAACTTTGAACCATGCTTCAGAAGAATGCTTCCCAAGCCTGGAATGGTTTCAGAGGCATTTCCAATGTTATCTAAATTGGCCTTCTCATCAACAGTTTCAGTTTTTTCCGG